TATGTTCCACAGGGGGTGACGAGAATTAAGAGAAGAGACTCCGATTTCAGCCTGCTCTTCTTTTTGCATTTGCATCGTTATCATTTCCTATTTTAGGGTGGTTTTTAGGTCCATTTTGTAAACGACCCATTCAGCTGGGTTTTTTTCCCCGCATATTATACCACGATTTCACTGTCCTAACACAGATTGTGGTCGCACTTTGATTGTTGGCGCCTTTAGGTATATCCAGCTTTATGAATGAGCATATCGGGGATTATCTAGTGAGATGTAAGCAGAGTTTCGTCCATGCTTCTCTTCGGGAGGGGTGGGGGGGGGGGTGTGAATAGGAGAAAGTCTACCCCCCCCCCCGACCTAAATGGAATTTATATAGAAAATATATACTTTTAACAGTGTTCCCCCCCCCCGGAAAGTTTAGTCCCCTCACCCTGAAAATTTCAAGTGCCCCCCCCCCCCTCCGGAGAAAAAAGTCTGGAAGAGAGCTGGCTGTAAGTGTGACATTATTGTTCTGGCTCCCAAGGTTAATAGAATATTAGTGTAGTCACGTTTTTTTTAAAATTTCATTAGCAAAGCATTTGTTGCTCAATTCTAAAATTCTATAAAAACAAAACAGCTTTGGGAATAACAATAAATAATAACAACATCAGGAAACTTACAAAATAGTATGGACCCCCCCCCCCCCCCCCCCCCCCCTCCCTTATTCCGAAATTACCAAACAATTCTTTTATCTTTATCCGGCTATTTTATATTTCCGAAAGAGCGTAAACCTAGCTCTATATCGCTGTTTTATGGTGTAAGGGAAGCCTCTAAAGAAGAACACCCTTCTCTCTTTAGCGTGGTATTTCTCCGCGGTTGGTTAAGTTTGCATAAGGTAGTATTTACTCTGAGTTAATTTTGTTTCGTCGCCTCCACAATAGATCCGAAATTTGAAAAACAAAACGCTGCTCAAATGAGAGCCGTTACGCCAGGGGTTGAATTTTCCCCACGGGGACCTTTGAATATGAGGAGGACAATATTTCTAAAGAATCGGGTCATGTGACCACATCTGCAGCTGCGGAGTCTGGTTGATGCTAGGCGGTGCACACCATACTCAAGGATGCGTCCTCATTTATATTCATTTCTGTTCTCTAGTATAAAGGTACAAACCTCACCCCTTCATTCTCCCCGCCCCTTCATCCATTCTTCAGCCCAGAGAACTAAACGGTCTTTCTTCAGATGTGAAATATTTGAGATGGATTTGTTTGTATTCAACACGATCTACAATTGAACTACGTTCGAGATTGTTTCAGATTTGTTTACAACGTCTTTACGGATTGGACTAATCCGGTTCCAACAGAGAGACCTTTTTTTTTCCTTTACAAAATTATATCTCACAATCAATACACCGATTGCTCTGTTCTATATAAAATAATTTTAGTGTGTTAGTAGGTCACTAGAGAGAACCCATGCAGATTTTTTTTGTATTTGTGAGTTATTTCCCCATCCAGCACTCGTATACTTTGTTTGACCGTACAGTACGACCCAATTCACCGTGTTTAAAATAAGAAAGGGAACTTAGCCAATTCGCTGGATTCTTGAGGAGAAAAATAGAAGCTTTGCCGTTTCTGTACAGCTGCACACCGCAAAGTTGCGCACTGAAAATAGCTAGACACTAAAGCGCCAGGTAATGTGTGGCAAAATGCCAAACCAAAGCCAAAATCTAAACCGTAACTAGAGCACACAAAAAGTAGCCCTACTTTGACGTGATTTATTTCGCGTTTTTGTTTCTAATTGTTGTGCTTGCTCTGGTAGTAGAACTTAAAATTGTTTTAAAACAAAAGGGGAAAAAAAAAAATTCACTAGATCTACAACAACTACGTTACAAATATAGAGGTTTTTTTTTTATAACCGAGGTCAACAAAGCAGTTTATTTTATGTCTTTATCGATTGGTGTGTTTTGAATTATCTCGCTGCGTACGTTTTCGTTGATTATTTGTTGCACTGATATATAAATAATGACTAAGTACATTTCAAAGCCGAATTATATCATTGACTTCATCTTGTCTTTTCCCGATTCATTTCGGGTATTCATATAGCTGAGCAGACCAGTGTTTCTTCCAGACTTTTTTCTCCGGGGGGGGGCACTTGAAATCTTCGGGGGGGGGGGGGGGCGGTAAACTTTCTTGCGGGGGGGGGGGGGCGGACACTGTTAAAAAGTATATATTTTCTATATAAATTTCATTTCGTTCGGGGGGGGGGGGGGGTAGGGGGGTAAAAAATTTTCGGGGGGGGGGGGGGGACGAAGCCCCCCCCCCCCGAAGAGATGCCTGAAGAAACTCTGGAGCAGACTCTCTACTTGTTTTGAAACGGTGCATGCATACAAGCTGAACAACAACGTTTATTAGTTTTTTCCAATATTAATCTTTACTGTAGGCTACTAATTGTTGATAACTTAAGATTATTTGATTATTGAAGATAATAAAGTTTAAAATATAACATAGGCAACTAAAGTATATTTATATCATAAAAATACGACTCACTTTGGTGTGTAGCCCTAGTTGTAAGATTTTTCAATAACCTTTATTTAAATATATATTTTGACATTATGATATCATAATTTGCACATTAAGAAAGAAAACCTAAACAAAACAAAACCCAAGTAATTTTGAACATGTTGATAAATTGATATTCAAGCTAAGAGAAATAACTGCGTATTTTATTTACGATTGTCACTTTCTTAAGAGTAGCTTCAGCTGATAAAACTAAGATCGCTCGTGAAGTTGGTAATCAGACCGGCTAAAGGACGACATCGTTTTTTTTTTAAAAGGGCAATTTTAACTTCTACAAATTAAAACTGATAACTGTACAATATTTTATCTTTCACATTAATAGTATGGTTAGGTAAATTTAAACTTGGACTTAGCCTATATTAGACCCCCCCCCCCCCACCTGCACACCCATCGTTTTCTGGTTTTGAAATGTAGGCCTACAACAATTTAAAAAAATTAATAATTTGAAACCAGTTTGAGGTTCTAATAGAAAACTGGTGGAGGAGGGATGCTTCTTCGACCACTTGAATAATTATATATAATTAATAAATGGCTATATATATATATATATATATATATATATATATATATATATATATATATATATATATATGGGGGCGCAAAATCCATTGCCCCGAAATGTGTTGTTCCGAAATGTGTTGCTACGTCTCTATGCTTGTAATAAACTAATTTTTATATTTATAGTCAGCTTAAAAGGGGATCATGTAGGATTCAAGATTATTTCATTATAATTATCCGATAAGATTAAATTAATTAAACAACAACATAAGCTAATTTTAAATAAAAAAAATTCACAAATCTTTAATATTTGATTGTTAAGATAAACTTTAGTAATGAGTAAAGTCTTTTTTAAAGCTAAATAATAGCATCAGTTATAGTTATAGAATCTAATCAGATCTGAATTCTAGACCTAGTCTATATCTTTTATTCCTCTTGAAATCATTTCTTTAAATTTAAAACTTTAGAAACACGAGCTAAATTTAATCAGTTTATAAAATAAAATGTAGGTCTAGATCTAATCAACCTAATCTAGTTCTAGATCTAGTTCTAATAATAATAATAATAATAATAATCGAAAATCAGTCCTAATCCAGGTTTTGTAGATATGAAAGCCTACTATTTGCATTTTTTACACGCAAAAGAACTCCGGTAATAAGGTCAAAGTCATACCTGTTCAAACAAATGACAGTGGACCTTAGCTTAAAATATGAAGTCTGTTCAAAGTGCCCGTAAAAAAATATTACAGTACCCAGAAGCTTTGTCACAATGCGCAGTTCAGGTAGATCTAAGTTTAAAAGTATAATTATTAATATTGTAATAATATTATAAACAATTTTAATTAGTAATTAGTAGGTTGAATTATGGATTTTTTAAAATAAAATATTCTGTTATTTCAAATACACCATTAAGTTCCTTACCCCTTAAGACAAGAGAACATTTGACACCACATTTAAATATCTAGCTTATTCGGTTGACGAGAAAAAAGAGAATTTGAAAATTTAGCTAGAATGGAAAATGAATGACAAAACAAGAATCTTGCTCCTGGACCGGCATAACATGACGCCGTGAACTTGTGTGCACGAGCTTTTAATTCCCGCCATGGTAATTGCGTCAGCTTAGGTCATTTACTCACCGGAAAATAACAAAAAGCAACTGGTTGATAATAAAACTTAGATCTAGTTATTTTATTATTTATTAAATTCTACTCTACATTTTATTCATACCATTTTAAGAAATAATGAACACCTACATAAATCAAACGACCATAATAAATATTTTTATTTCAAATTCTAATTTTAAATAATAAATATGCATAAAATAATATGATAGTAATAGTTAAGATAGTTTATAAATGCAAATACATTTTACACTCAATCACATTATATTGAGTCAACAGTGTGGCAGCTGAGGTTCATACATGGTATTAGTGTCTTTTTTTTTTTTACATTACATTTTTTTTCATCTTGAAAACATGACGTATGTGATTTTTTTTTTAAATAAAATCTCCAAACATCGTCACTCGCGTGATTGCTTGCTTATGTTTACTATCCTGTGGATGAAAAATCCCACCACGGTCGCGGGGTCACCGTGACTTCAGCAGGCCTACAGTACACGTCATAGAATGAACACGCGTACACGAGATGGTCGGTGTCTTCACTTCTCTCTCTCTCCCCCCCCCCCCCCTCTTCTTCAAGCAAATTGAAAAAGAGACCTACTTCCCTACTTCTGGTCATTTTTTTTAGTTCGGTCATTTTTTTTTTAAGTTCGGATATCAGGCATTCTAGACAGCCAGCTGTATAAAAAAAATATTTTTTAAACTAGATCTACGTCTAGCTTAAAAAATAAATAAATAAACGCTTAAAATGCCCGTAAACAGATTATTTAGCGCCAAAAAAAAGGCCGCTGAACGAGCATTTTTTACAATACGCAGCAATGAAAAAGGCTAACGGCCAATCAATTAAGTCTAAAAATCGCCCGTAATTAGGCCTAGCTCTGAAAAAGGCCACTGAACGAGCAACACTGATTATATAAACGAATAGGCCACGCGGCGTTGACGAGGTCAACCACCGGTCACGAATGCAGCAACGGTCGGCCCACAGTGAAGAAAAAATCAATATATTAATAAAATTACTAATACAATAATAATGTCTATAATTTTACTTTTTCCACACATGCTACAATTGATTTATAATTAAAATACTAGACTTAACAGTTCATTCCGTAAAAAACAAAAACTAGTTGTTTCAGTCTGGCAACTAGCGTAACAATGACGTCATGATACTTAAAATAGCGGATAGAAATGTCAGCGTGGGTACCTCATCCTCGAGGAAGATTTTAGAAAAAGTAATCAAAAATACTGTAAATATACATGATAAATATATCAATTATATATTAATGTACAGTTAGTCGAGCCGTTTTCCCCGTTAGTCGGTCGTTTTTGGCGGCGGTTCAGTTTTTAAGGAGAGTGCTCCACTAGAAATCCTCTCATTATTTACAACCACGAATCTTGCGATTTTTTCTGGCATTCTAAGGCATATTATCCATTTTATTAGCAATTTGCATTAAAATAATGATGAGAATTTGCGATATAAACAGTTTTTTCATTTGTCGTGGATGGGACCCCTAAAATAAACGGAAAAACCGTCAGAAAACGATGCGTGACGTTTCAGGGTCAGAGGTCAATCCTGCCATCTAAGCAATGCGCCAGACTAGTAATTAGGCCTAGAGTACCTTGCATTACAGTTTGCGGACACACACCGCGAAAAAAACGGACTTCACATTTACTACAACTTCCATGCGGTCTCATTCAGTAACCGCTTAACATAGAAAACAAAAAAGAAAATATCGTATCTAGCTCTAGATCTATCCGCAACCATTCTACGTAAATAATGTGTATCATTTTGGGTAATCTATCGTTTTAGGTACGTAAAATCGCCCGAGACTAGTAATGTGAAAAACAGGTGACTCCTTACATTTTAATAATTATTTCACATTTTGAGGAGGATTTATGTTTTGAAAAATACAAAAATGTTTCCATGTTTCATTTATGTACCTGTTTTTAAACAATTGAATTAAAACTTTTCAGTAATAAATGAACACTAGCGATGTTTCCAATAGATGCAACCATGCTCATTTACTATAGCAGCCATCTTGTTAAAGTTTTATTTTTATAGACATAGCGGGAGATTCAGGGGGAAGTCACTCTATTTTACAAATGGCTGCTGTTTATATAGGAAATCTTACTTGCAGACACTGCTGTTTAAAGTTAATTTCTGGCCTATATTGATATATTTAGCCATTGTTTTAGGTTTATTATCCATTTATCTATAATATTTGACACAAACATATCACAATATACTTCTATTACAGCCTTGACAACGAGGTAACGTTTTCGTACATTAATAGCCGCGGGCGATTTTACGTACCCAAAACGATAGATTACCTCATTTTGTATTCATACTCAATACTCATAGAACTTTAGCTATTCTTGTTATAGTGACGGGGGGGGGGGTCTTAACATGTGTCCCAACAGGTAATAAAATTTTACATGTGTTCGGACACCTTTACCCGTCATCGAACAAAGCACATTTTGTTCATTTAGAATAATTTAAAGTCAATTTAATGAATAAAAGCATTATATGCATTTATATTGTGTTATTGATTGTTTGTGAGGTAATTTTAATAGTATAAAACCTTTTTCCCCCACACTCCCAAAGTTCATCCCATTCAGCCATTGCGGCTCGCGCAGTTCGCTGCTAAGCCAGCCAGGTCACATGATTTCCCCTCCTCTTTCGCCTTCCACTGCCTTCTTGACCTTATTTTGACCCTTTCCCTTCAATAACCAGCCCCTTTTACGCTGTAAATTCTTATTTAATAATATTTTTGTGTTGCTGTCCGCTCCCATGTAAGGCCAAAAAAGTTAACAAACACCCCTTTTTTATTGTTCAAGCACAAAAAAAACCCATTAACCTTGACATTTACGATGTTCCATAGATGCTATTTATAGTGTAACCTTTTAACTAAGCGTTGATTGGTTCAAGTTTTGCCCCTAAGTCCAACCCTAGGTCACTTCATCCGGCTGGTGTAAAAATAGAAATGTGCGTACCATGCAACGTTAAAAAATTTCTAAAAATAATTCTTGAGAGAGGAAACGGAAGTACTTGACACGGAAGTGTTCATAAATGAACAGTTTACGTGCAGGCTCTGTGGTTTCGCATGAGACATGCTAATTAAAGTTTCTATGAGCCAAAAACCGATGAAGTGTTCGCTCCTACATAGTGTTTGGGGACCGTAAGGTGCTCTAGATCTAGAGTAGATTTCCTCTGAATGGTCAACCCTCGTAATGGTCATCGTCTGTTTATTGCTTCGTATAATAATTATTTGGATGTTTTATATGAAACTTTCGGTATCTGCTGTACGCATGTCCATTTCTAAATATATCCAGATCAAGTTCTTTTGTTTTCTCCTTCTGGAAGACAAGTTTTTAAATTTTTAAGTTCAGGTATGACGTCAGCCTGTGATCCCAGTCCCCCCCTCCCCTGGATGAAAACACTAGGTCCGGGATGAGATGAATAAAACCAACCAATCAAAGCTGTTTATAATTAGGTTAACTATTTGTTTAAGTTTTTTTTTTATAAACTTATAGCGCAAGATTCAGGGGAAGCCACTCTATTTTACAAATGGCTGCTGTTAATATAACAAATCTTGAATTTATTCTAGATCTATCTATAACCAACCAGGCACATTTAGTATATGCATTAACTACTTTTCCTTTATTTAGGCCACAGCATATGGTAAATGCATCACTGCAAAGGATAATGTCACAAAATCTGCGTGCCAGAAAGAATTTGATGCATTAAAGGAATGCATTAAAAAATCCGTGAGCATTTTATTTCATTCTTTTAATTGCTCCTACTTAAAGTATTTTTTTGTTAAAATTAAAATATTGACAGTTAGGGGCCTACTAATTTTTAAAAAATTTACTCAACTATTAATTATTCTTAAAAAGATTATTTTGATTAAAATTCATGTCCCAATGAGCTAGTTTTTCGTTTATAACCGGAGCTATTTTTTTTATCATAGTAACAGAATTAAAATTAAATTACTTTTTAAAATTTTTACTTTTTGTGGTGGTTAGTTTTATGAAAAGGCACTATTACATCTGTGAATTGTTGACAAGGAAATGTATATTATATCTATTTAAGCAGTATCACTATAGTCAGACATTTAAAGACCGACCTGTACAGTTTTGGGTAACAACTACTTAAAATTAAATATTTACATATTATTTCTAGATTTTAAATTGATTGGACGATCCCTACATTTACATTTTAATATCCACAGATGAAAAAGTGAAATCATGCTTTTAAACTGTAAGTACTGTGTTTATTTTATTTGCAATGATGTAAAGTTACTTTGTTTTTATTTCAAATATGTAATGTAAATTTAATTGTTTTTTTAAGATTTGTGGAGTGCATGCCATCTCTTACCACCATACATAAAATTTATTAATAATTATTTTATGTTAATGAACCATTTATGTTATGTTTTTATCAGCAGATGAAGAGACAACTTGATATGTGGAATGGAATACAATACTACCAAGACGGGTTTTGTTTTAATTAAGAAATTGATTTCTCCTGTAAAGTATTCAGTCAACTCTGCTGTATTACTGCAAATATTTGGTCTTTGTCGCAAACTTCAGTGTTTCTCAACATCAAGCAAGACCTTTATATTTTCTGACCAGTTCAGCCCAGCAAGAGAGAACAGCAACATTTATTTTAAAAAGAGACTTCTTTCCTCACCCACAACAGACGTCAACTTTGCGACGGTAGATCAGGTTAAGATTCCAACTTATAGACTGAATGCCGTGGCCAGGATATTGGAGTGCAATATTGCTGAGGCAGAATCAATTATTAAACAGTTCCCATTCTTAGCACACCTGTCAACGCACCTGCTTCAGCAGAAAGTTAAGTTGCTGACCTCCTACAACCTGCCTTTATCTTTTATTAGAAACAACCCACGTCCTGTTTACCACACTTCATATCATGAGCTCGACAAACGCCTGCGGTTGTTGAAAGCCAGATCATTTTTGACAGAAAATCCAGTCATACAGCAAGAAAATCTTGTTCATTACCTGGAGTGTGAAAATGAAAAATTTGAATCAGGATACAAGAACATATGCACCCAACTGGATTCACTTGAAGGTTGTAGTAATCAGTTGGACTATTTGCAGATGAGGCTGAAATGTTCTAAAGAAACAGCTGCCATGATGCTTTCAAGCTATCCCTTGGATCGTCATGTCAGTAACAAGAAAATAAAAAAGGTTTTAGACTTTGCGCTTGACGAGGTTAAACTTGGATCAGACTTTGTTATTAAAAATAGGTGGCTCTTTGCATTTTCACTTAAGAGATTGAAGCAACGATTACAAGTAATGAAAGAAGCTGAAGTTCCAGTGGAGGATTATCCATACATTTGGCTATTAACTGAAAAGAAATTTAAACATGAATTTGAAAAATTCTTACAACCAAAATAATTTTTTTTACTTTAGCATTATGTTTGTGTACATGTGTTAATCTGTTCTTGTCAAAAATGCTTTTCTGATGAAATTTTAAGTTCATTTTGGGTTTGTTCCTTAAACAAAATATAATAAAAGTGTTGTTTTCTGGTTATTATACACTGCAAACACTACTGTAACTCTTTCTACATAAAATTAAATAGTTCTATCTGTTAAACAATAGGATTACAGTATATCTTACAACACAATTCCCAATATCTGCACATTGTAGAGATGTTACATTAACTGATTTAGGTGATTTCCTGTTTGAAACTTTAACACTCACTCAGTGGGGGTGTTGTGTTTAAAAGGGCTGACCCTGAGATTTAGGACACTAAAACGACGTTGTTGTCAACTATTGGCTTTATTGGCATTACATCAAGCCATAAACGGCGATGCAGAACAACCGTAGTAAACAGTGTAGAAAACAGTAGACGACTTATAGATAAATAATGAATTGTAAATTGTAGTCCTTCATTAGGTCTACATTGTCATTGATCTACCTCTAGGTACTGTCACCCTCTGTGTCCACAGACAGCAGCCTTGGGTCTGACTGGCACGGCTAGGCACGAACTACCCAAAATCCCATGTCACATGACATGGGACACAGGTAAAAATCGCTCACCGAAGAGAATGCAAAAAACTATACATTAACAACTGCAGTCCCACAGGTGCCGCAACCCAATGAATTACAACTTTATTCTTATCTCCCCTTGGCTGGTAACCATATGCGTTACAAAACATTTCATGTATTTTCATTGACTACTGCAGTAATTTCCAAGTGTGAGCAAATACTAATAGTAAGTAAGAGAGGTGCATAAATGTTGGCAAAAATTATGGTGATTTTAGGAAACATACAATAATTCAATAATTTTAATTTTGAACATAATTATAATTCTAGTATTGTATAATGCTTGCTTCAGAATGTTTTTTTTTTTAAATACTAAGTATCTACTACAACCTCATTCTAGGTTGATTTTTTTATCTGTGAGTCAGATAACAATTATTCTTATAAATATATATGCCCAACTGACTCAGTGGGCTAACAAGCACAAGTTAAAAAGGTCTGGACCTAATATTTATGATCATAATCCCAAAATACATCATTAAAATGATTCACATGGTAATTATGTACGTAAAACACAGCTCCTAACTTTTGTTAATGTAACAATACTAGGGCCCTGATGACATGAGGTAGCAATACTAGCTACACAACAGCATTGTCATTTTTATTAGTAGTACTTATTAGTAGCCTACTTGTAAGTAGGTAGGCCTATCTGTATACATAAACTAAATAATGCAACAGAATAAAGATCATACATTTTGCCATTGAAATTGGAATATAACAAACCAAAACAGAAGCTTTAAAAGAGGTTTGTTTCAGTAAAATGTAAATGCATTAACAAAGATTGGAAAAGTGTAAATTCCATACACTACATTGGACTTCTGGAGACTGAGCAGTAGCTTATGTGTCAAGCTGAAGCAGGGGGTGGGGGGGGGGGGGGGGTCTTCAAACTTTCCTAAAAAAAAAAAACAAGTGTCTGATGTGATCTTGCAGCATGTTCACAAAGCAGCTTATTATTTAAAGGTGATATTGAAATAGAAAAATATTGTAACTGTTACTGAGTGTTACACAAAAATTCTTCAGTACATAGGAATAGAAACCGCTATTTTCACCTATATTAGAAAGTAATAATAATAGCTCACATCAATGATCAATACAGTTAGAATTTATTTAATATTTGTCATTTGTTGGAAAGATAATTACAATTTTTTGGAAATGGACATTTTCTATTACAGTACAGAAATCATTAGACAGATGTTTTAATTTTAATTATCTTGAACCCAGGGTTCATGAAAGAAACAATGCTTTTCTTAGCTACTACCAAACTATTCAGAATTCACATCTTTTGGTGATGCAATTTAGAGATGAAAATGAATACAAATATACCAATTTTACAAAGCTCAGTATGCTGCATGATATTGTGTATATATACACACATGTATGTATATAAATATATTTAATTATTTATACAGGGAGTTATTGGATGATAAGTTTGGAAACCACTGGCCTCATGTCTATGTAAATAAAAAATTTTACTTATTAATATTATACATGTAAGGTTTTTACTCTGGCTTGTTGTAACTGGTGGTATCAGGTTTTTACTTATAGTATACATATAAGCCATTATTATAAGCTTACATCCAAATTTATTGAAGGCTCTTATAATCCTAAAATAACCTGTCCAACCCCCACAATCTTTAGACTATTTCATTGATTGGTGTGGTATCTCTGTATCACTGCAGTTATTGCTTTCATGCCTAAGTCAGTGCTTATGTAATGAGACAGAAAGGTCTGTTTGTATGACTGCTAACTCTAAGTCTTCATTTCAGGCCTGTGCTCAATACTGTAGGATGTCCTTGAGGCAACCCAGCTGATGGGTACCCAACTCATGTTTAAACAAAGCTAGTGCTAAATTCTTTAGAATGCAATTTTATTTCTACATTTAAAAAATAGCAGCAGGACCTCTGAAGGATCCTATTGTATAAGATTGTTTACGGGCTGTGTTAATGTAAGCTTCATTCATGCTGGTATAACAAACAGTGCTAAACAGTCTGGTTAGGTAGGAGATTTTCACAAAACAGTGTGGTGAAGCAGTGGTGCAATATGAAAAGGACACAGGTCAAGGGGTAGAGCAACTTTAACAGGATGGTGTGGTCATGTAGTAGAGCAACTTTAACAGGATGGTGTGGTCAAGCACAAAAATGCTAACTGAAAATGTGAAAATAAATCAACAAAAACCCAGATAATTATGGCTATGTTATTGTATTGCTTTAACAAAATAGTGTTAAGGCACATTTCACTTTTGACAACAGCACTTAAATCTTATTTTTGTGGAAAATATTCTTGGAATTTTTTTTGAAATTGTTTTTCTGTTAAATTCCAAAAGTCTGCATATTTTTCCAGCGCAACACCACCCGACTGCATAATTATCCATCGTTGTTGCAGTCTGGTTAAAGAAAATGAGAAGAAACGCTTGTTTTTAATCACATATTCTGGATCAACTTTCACCTCATTGAGAAAAAAATCCAAAACACTTTTCATTTTACAGTTACTGATATGTTTTGACAGCGGATAAGATGAAAGCATACTGTCAGCTTTTTCTTTTGTACACTTCAGTCTGTGTTGAAGGTACTCACACTGACTGGCACAGCCTTCAAGTGCATCAAGCTCTGAGCATAAATTTTTAAAAGCTGCATCAAAATTGTGGCAGTCACATTCCAGGAAATAAACTAGGTTTTCTTGCTTTACAAACGAACTGTCATTTAAAAATGATTTTTCTTTTAGTAACTGTAAGCGCCGATTAAGTTCTTCGTATGAATGGCAGCTAATTGGTCTCAGGTTTGTTTTTAATGCAGATATGGAAAAATTGTAAGACAAAAACAAGTTCACTTTTAGTTGGATTAGGTGAGTAGACATGCGACGTAAGAATGGATATTTTTCTAAAAAAGATTCTACATCAACTAAGTCACAGTCTAGAATATTCGCAATAGACTGATTGCGAAAATGTTCATCTTTTATACTATTATAAGGTGTTGAAATAGATCTAAAAAAATAAATTGGAAGCAAATGCACTCTTCTATTAGTTGATACAGGTAACCTATTCAAATATGGCGTAAAATGTCTGAAAGCATGCTGAAGCAATCCACGAGCTGAATTCAATACTGTTACTGTTCCAACAACCATACTTTTTCTTGCTTAGTTTTACACAGCATCCACTGTCAAGTAAAAATAAAAATAGATTACCATTAGATTAAAAAAATAAAGATGAAACATCATTGTGAAGGTCATGCTGGTCACTGTTAATAATAACGAGCCGACCAGCGGCATGTCATACGCCGCTATTTCTAATTATATATATAGATAGTCTGGAGATTTTGAAAAATATAGAAATTAAGCTTATATTATAACAAATTTGGGGAACGGAGTGGTCTAGCGGTAGAGAGCTGGACCCCTAACCCGCCAGTCTTGAGTTCGAATCCAGGTTCTAGTCAGTAGACCGTCCTGAGTCCACCCAACTCTGATGGGTACCTAACTCTTGTTAGGGAAAGTAAAGGCGGCTGAGCATAGTGCTGACCACACTATCTCTTAGTATGCCGAGGTCACAGAAAGGGAACGCGACTTTTTTTTATAACAAATTTTACAAAATTCTTCAAGTATAATCAACTTTAACAGTAACTTAGTAGAAGTAAAGTTCCCTTTTGAACCTGATGGTCCTCAGTAACCTCAGTATATGAAGGGATAGTGTGGTCAGCACCTGGCACAGCTGGATTTACTTTCCCTAACAAAATTCAAGTACCCGTAAGAGCTGGGTGGACTCAGGGATGTTCTATGGACTCAAACTGGGTTTTGATCTTGAGACTTTCGGGTTGGCAGTTGTGTGCTCTATGGTAGACAGACATTTTCCTGAAAGACACATGCCCGAATGCCGTTTGCCCAAAGGCCATTTTCCATAATGGACACTTGCCTGAATTATTAATTAGTATCAGACCTATAAAATTATAGGCCCCTATAAATTATAAATATACTTAAATATTAATTATAGGCCTACTACTCTAGTACTAGAATACTAAGAAACATGAATACTAGACTACTACTACTAGATCTAATCTATCTTGTATCTCTAAGCCTATAAAATAAGTAGGTAGGGCCTATATATATTATTATTATATAATATAGGCTATAGTGTCATATAGTATACTATAGACCAGGCCTATACTATATACTATATAAAGTATTAGGGCCTAGGCCTAAATTAGTAGTAGTAGTAGTAGTAAGCCTATAACTAAAATATTAGCTATATGATGTATATATATATATATAGGAGACTACTATCTAATATTATCAATACTTAATATTGATTCTCGAGTAAACAATGAATTAAAAAGCCAATGCTGAAAAAATAAATAGTATGACGTCATCGTTACTCTATAATAAAAGCACTGGCATTACCGCCTAATTTGTTTGTCTAATCTTAAAAAGTTTCTTTTGTGCATCTCCTAAGAACATCTACCACCCCCCCCCCCACCCCGAAGATAAAAAAAGAATTTATATACATAATATATACTTTTACCTGTGTCAGCCCCCCCCCCCCCCCCCAAGATATTAATGTGCACGCCCCGCTTAAAATATTTAGGGCCCCAGAGATAAAAAAGTCTGAAAGAAATACTATCTCCATGATTGAGGTTTAGCGGCCAAAAGTAGGAAACGGGTCAATATTATAGAAGTATGGTCTACCTTTAATCTGTATCATATACAAATTCGACCAGTGTTTCTTTCATTCTTTCAGAATCAGACAGGGGTGACAGCGGAGCCGTCCCCGCGTACCCTCCCCCCCCCCCACCTATAGAGTTGCCTGAAAGAAACTCTAAATGCGACTTTTGTCATGTTTGAGTTTAGGTGCAAGGTTTAGGGGTATGGCAACGACTATATTTAGTATATTTAGTATAAATGTGCAGTAACAACGTGTAGAAAAAAGGTGTAGATCAAGCTTAAATTAGATTTAAATGCCGATTCTAGATAAAAATCCGTTTTTAATTACATATTTCGTTTCCGGTTAAATTTGACGTTGAGGTGATGATTTTGGTTTCGATTTAGAGAACACTGTCGTTATCAAACTAGCGCCCATTGTATTCTGAATAGACATCATGTTGACATAGTGAATAGTATTCTCCCTCAACGGGCGATCTCGTATGTAATATTTAATAATATAATATTAATATAATAATATAGGCCTATTATTAGCCCTTACTATTATTAGGCCTATACTATTATAATAGGCTAATTAATAACTACTACAATTACAAGATCTAGACTACTAGATCTAGATTCTAAGTAAGTAAAAGTGGTAATCTATCGTTTTGGGTACGTAAAATCGCCCGCGGCTATTTATGTACGAAAACGTTACCTCAATGTCAAGGCTTTAATAGAAGTATATTGTCATTCTTTTGTGTCAAATACTATAGATAAATGAATAATAAACCTAAATCAATTGCTAAATATATCGATATAGGCCAGAAATTATCTTTAAACAGCAGTGTCTGAGAGCAAGATTTGCTATATAAACAGCAGCCATTTGTAAAATAGAGTGGCTTCCCCCTGAATCTGGCGCTAAAAGCTTATAAAAATAAAACTTTAACAAGATGGCTGCAGTAAATGAGCATGGTTGCATCTCTTGGAAACATCGCTAGTCTTCATTTATTACGGAAAAGTTTTAATTCAATTGTTTAAAAACAGGTACATAAATGAATCAAGGAAACATTTTCGAATTTTTTAAAACATAAATTCTCCTCAAAATGTGAAATAATTATTAAAATTTAAGGAGTCACCTGTTTTTCACATTACAAATCGCGGGCGATTTTACGATAGATTACCGTAAAAGTTACTAATCTAATACTAAGTTTAAAGTTAACTAAGACTAAGTCCTAACTAAGTTCATAGTATAGTACTTCATACACCTCATAAATTTATTTACTATTTATTTAGTATTTACTATTTAGGCCTAGACAAAATGAAAATAAATAGGGCCTAGGCCTACTTGAAAATAGAACTAGGGTAAAATCACGATATAGCGTCGGAAATTATTGGGTAATGTTCGTTGAGTTTCGGTAACATTCGTTACTGTAAACCATAGTTTATTTGACAGTTGAAAAAAAAATAAAGTCAACTGCATTAAATTAATGTTTTAACTTAATTTAATGTTTAACTGACAAAAAATTAGCAACAATTAGTAAATCTAAATAATAAGTAATAAAGTTGAGTGTAGTAATTAATGTTTTTTTAAGAAACAGAAAAAACCTGCAGAAGATTTGCGACAACCAGCTCTACTACTGGCTCTAGTTCTGTTAGTATTTTTAGATCTAGAATCTAGATCTAGAATCTAGATCTAAGACCAGGGGCGGAACTACCATACCGCCAGACCCCGCAATGCGGGGGGGGGGGGCCCAGGACGTTTAGGGGCCCAGTTCCGACCAAAAAACAATGAATTTGTTTTTCAAAAATTATGTTTTTCATGCATCTTAAAAGTGGTTTTGTAAAAAAAAAAAAAAAGGTCTACTATAGCAGAGATTGTTGCGTAGAAAAATATTTTATAATCTACAAGAGCTATAGTTTGAAAGGTAGGCAAACATTCACACTACTTCCATGACTTACTGCCCTTCTTTAAAATAGGGATGCCCACAAAGCTCATTTAAATAGTTTTGTGCTATGTATATTAAAAAGCAATTAAATTCTCTGAATTATTATTTAAATAAGACGTAATAAACAATGGTATAGCCATAAAAATCAATGTTTTCGAAATTGATATTATAAAAGCCAAAAATGAAAAGAATAAACATAACGCGAGAAACCATTCACGAATCAAGCTTACGTCTTTATATATTTTTGACCAGCATGTTTAGAAGTGTTTGTATTAATTTCTAGCTTAAGATGAGTTTGGACCAAATTTGTCTGGATTGTTCTCCCAGAATGGTTTTATATTGCAATGAAGTAGACTAAACTACTCAGGTCAGTTAGGATATAGATATTATAGGCCCTATATATATATATATATATATATATATATATATATATATATATATATATATAATATATATATAGGGGGCCCTAATTTTTTCTTTGCGGGGGAGCCCTTTTTTTCTAGTTCCGCCACTGTCTAAGACGATTAGATTTACTAAAGTTAAAAGTAGTAAGAATAACTAGAATAATGTTTAGTAGCAGCAATAATTAGCACATACACTTAAAATAATTAGAAATACAAAATAATTAGCAAAACAGTATTTAAAATGCAACTAAAATCAATCCTTGCACATTTTTAAACATTATCATTATGTGTAAAAAATAATATGGCGGCAAATAAATGATGGTTTACAGTATTTCCGGTGGTTTCCGGAACGGCTCGACAGACTACGCCATGGTTTTACTGTTTTTTACTGCTGTACAGTTCCGGAATAATAACCGACGCTATATCGTGATTTTACTAGAACTAGATCTAGATGGCATGGCCTATTCTAAATATTAGTAGATTACTAGGTAGATAGATAGCCTATAAAGTAGGCCTATGTACCCTGTTGTAGGCTGTAGGTTACATGAGTACACACTACTACACTACAGTACACACTAGATCTAGTACACAGCGATATGTCTGATCATAAGCAACAGCAGTAGTAAACAAAATCAAGGGAAATAACCAGATCTAATCTAGATCTTTCAGAAAGTTTGCTAAACCAAATCGATATTATCAGTTGCTCGTGTTATATCGTAAGCTATGGGCCTACTTCAAATATTTTTAAAACCAAGCTGAAGTTATCTGAATTTTTTGGTTTTGGTGGTGGTGTTATTTGGGGTCTTCCATAAATGACGTCACACTCGTGGGGGGGGGGGGTCTGTAATTTTATGACGATGTGTGATGAGGGGGAGGAGGGGGGGGGTTAGATGTGAAGTCACACTATAAAAAAGCAATGTTAGAAAAAGAATTTTAGACGTTTTTTCGCGTTTTAGAAAACTGTTTTAATACATTGTAATAGGAATTGATTAAAATACTCTATTTTGACCGAAATTAGACAAGATTTTGGGAAAATATCGATGTTTTTAAAAAACTCAACTGCTGGTGACAACAATGAGCAAGACATTGCCAAAATTACAGAAATGATAAAAAATACAAATTATAAAAAACGGAAAACAGATGTTGAGCGTGCGGATGATGATGATGAGAACATGGAAGCCAGTGTTGTGTGTGGGATGAACGAGGAGGTCAACTGTGATGAGAATGTGAAATGTTGTGAATGTGGATTGGAAGAAGTAGCAAAAGAAAAATGTATAAATGGGAGTCTAATGAACTGGGTTGGGTGTGCTATGTGTGAAAGATGGTATCACGAGGTGTGTTTGAGGACTGTTTCAGAAGATTTTGTTTGTAAATTTTGTTTGTAATTAAAATTACTTAATAAAAAAATAAATTGCACTTTTTAGAATTGTTTATACTCAATATTTGTCCATATTTATTTTCTTAACAGGTAAAGGTTTTCTTGTGGCTGAATAAAAAAACTGAACTGTTAAAGCTGTGTTGATCACAACTATGGGGCTGACAACAATAACTGCATTAAACTTAAAATCAACAGCTGAGCTCTTTCAACATGTACTAAGAAATTTCACACCCTTCTTAAACAGTAGCAGCCTATCAAATCCACTTCGTGAATGTCTATTTTCAAGAATTACAAATTCGACATGCAGAAATATGCATTGTAGTGCAACTTTTCTTACTGGAGTTGACCCACACATCAAAACTGTGAAAAAAGATCAACAGAAGCATATCCAGTCTATTGCTAATGTAATGGAATGTAGTGTTGATGATGTAAATTCAATGATAAAAAAATACCCTTTCATACTTCACATGTCCACACATTTAATTGAACTAAAGGTTAAATTACTTTTGTCTTATAATTTTCCTATGTCGTTAATTAAAAAAAATCCAAAACCAATATACTACACTTCAAATGAAGAACTCAAACGTCGCTTGCAGTTGCTGAAAGAAAAATCTTTTTTGACAGAAAACCCAATATTGCACCAAGAAGGCATTGTTTATTATCTTGTATGTCATGATGCTAATTTTGATTTATACTTTGGAAATTTATGCTCAGAGCTTGATGCACTTGAAGGCTGTGCCAGTCAGTGTGAGTACCTTCAACACAGACTGAAGTGTACAAAAGAAACAGCTGACAGTATGCTATCATCTTATCCACTGTCAAAACATATCAGTAACTGTAAAATCAAAAGTGTTTTGGATTTTTTTCTCAATGAGGTGAAAGTTGGTCCAGAGTATGTGATTAAAAACAAACGTTTCTTCTCATTTTCTTTAACCAGACTGCGACAACGATGGACTATTATGCAATCAGCTGGTGTTGCGCTGGAAGAATATGCAGACTTTTGGAATTTGACAGAAAAACAATTTCAAAAAAAGTTCCAAAAATATTTTTCACGCTAATATTAATAACTTCAAATGATGGTGTCTGTTTTGTATAAAAAGAATTGAAATACTATAGCACCTTCTTGTTGTGTGTTATCCTTATGAAATTAATGACTAGATATTTGTTCAATGCTGAGCTAAAGATTTTATACTTCCAACCTACTTGACCTTGCTATCCCAAACTTAGTGAGGAATTAGTTATAAATTTATCTTGAATTTTATGTTTGACCCACCAAGTTGAGTATCAATGTTTTAGTCGTGGTGGAGTGGAGAAAAAATTGTGATTTCATATATTGCATAAATGTTTAAATGTTCCATATGTTTCATCATGTCTACTTTTTTGCATGTTTCAACATAGAAATCAGGGATATAGAAACGTGCACTCAATGAGACAGACAGCTGACTGGACCCATACAGCCCTAAAATTATTGACATGCATGGGATATTAGATACTGGTTGATGCAGGGATTGATGTTTAATTAAAGTTTGCAAACAAAAAGAAACAGGTTTACAAAACAGTAGCAGCATAAAATAAAGTAAAATTGCTAGATTTTTAAAAGGTATTTTTTTTACCTATTTTAATGAAACCATTCAAATGACTGAAACGTTTTAATTTTAGCATTTTATCTCTTGGGTCCTCAATAATACGACTACAAGAAGATTCCATGACTGGACACAGAGTAAAATACTTGATTACTAATAACATTTTTTAATTCTAAGCTGTCAGTCTTGTTTGTTATGAATGATAAGAGAGTATGTGTGTTGTAGAATTATCTATATTGATAAAAGATTTTGACCTTGTGATGAGGTACATAAGGGTGTGATGTTTGAGAGTAGTGATAAAAGATTTTGACCTTGTGATGAGGTACATAAGGGTGTGATGTTTGAGAGTAGGATCTTGTTGCTGGGGGAAGTAGTTTAGGACAGTTTGAGTCTTGTTGGGGGGTGTGGAAGTATTTGTCCTGTTGTCGTGAATGTTGTCAAGTCTTAGTATTCGTTGTAAAAGTCATCGTCTATGTCTATCAATGTCATGTCCAATAAAGAATGAAATGAAACTACGATCATGTCAAGTCATTTGTCTCAATGACCAGTTGCCTCTACTTTCCCTAACGTGAGTTAGCTACCCATCAGAGCTGGTCGGACTCCACACCCAGCACTGCAGCGGTTTGTGAAGGCACACACTACTCTAATTACTACTTGATGTAATTTAATATTAATTTATTTAAATGCATGCACAATCTAAAATAAAATAAACAAAAAACTTTTTTGATAAAAGAAAGTGGAAGACCTTTTGGTTAAGTAAATGCTTTATTTACTTGGCATATCTGCAGTTACAGGAGAACAAAACCACAATTTGGGGCTGTTAATTTTTTTCTTTTTTAACATAAGGTCATTAGCTTTTTTTTTTAAATGGTGAACATAGGTTATGATATCAGCATTACTTTTTTAAAACTATTTTAAAGAAACAGATTCTAAATGCCAGATCATACATTCATTGATATTCATTTAACAATTTATCTAGTCTAGTAAAACACAGGTTGATAGTTAAGTAGACAAACATTAAATAAAGAACATAAAAATTATTGTTATCACTAATACAGTTTTTAAATCAAATTTTGTTAATTTGTATTATTAAAGTATTCACAAAATATCTGATACATGTTCATCAATCAACAGTAAAACAGTTGACTTAATGTTTTTGACATCAATTTACAAAGTTTTATTCAAAGACAGAAATTACATTAGATAGAAAGTACAACACAACATTAAAACTTGTAAAAGGAAAGTAATAAAACATTGTTAACAATAAAAAAAATATAGTAACAGAATAATTCAAAATTGGAAGTAGGACAAGGAACAATTAAGAACCTTAAAAAAAGTTTTATGTGGATATAGATAACACATGTAATGATGATGAAAATAATATACATTATGTATAAACAACATAATTATATAAATATGTTTAAGAAATTTATTTTGTTTGCAAATAAATGTAGCTATACAATGTAACACAAAGTAATTTTCTAGCTTAGAAATCCAACAATGACAGATTAGTCTAGAAAAAAAAACACTCTATTTATTGATATGTATTTTATTGATTAAAAGACAAAACTGGTATACATTTTGGAATGTAAATTTCCACCTGGTGCAATAAGTGTGGAAAAATCTTGAACAGGCATATCCACTCTCTAAGAATCATAGGACTATTAAATTTTTTGGTTTGGTATTAAGCAACTACAGTAACTTATTGGCATTGTAAATTTCTTAAATAAGTTAAATTAAAATATACTGTAGTGTTTCTATTCTAAAAACAATAGATTTTCAAAATATATTTTTGTTGAAAAGTCAGTGAAATTTGTGGTCAAAGGGAAATAACACAGTAAAATGATAACTTCGTAAGATAGTTAAATGACCTCCCCTGATTACAGCGGTTTCTGAACGGATAGAATTTAGAAGGTAGACATTCCATGGCAGGCGCAAAATGTGCAATAAAAATGTAAAAAAAAAAACAAAACAAACCCAGTTAAACATAGTTGTTTGATAATAATAAAGTTTTGTCTGCCAATAAACAAATAAAAATTAAGTCTACGATCCGAGTACAGTAAAGTGTGACTATCACAACGTTTTAAAACATGTTTGATCAAGATCGGTATGCACCATTGAAGTATAATAACTAATAGAACAGTCCACCTATATATATATATATATATATATATATATAAATATGAGAAAAATAGGAGTGGAAAAAAATTCTAAATTGTGTATACTTCTAGTAACAGCTGTGCATGTTTTTAATTTTAAGTGTCGTCCTATTGATCCCAACCTTTCGATAAACTCTGCCGGCTGTGATGTCTCAGTGTCCGGCCATTTTAACAAGCGGATATTTTCACGTTCTGAACTTATCATCAAACATGTAAAAACTATTACGCGACACACTATCCCTTACGACTAGTATAATAAACAAATGAATGGAAAAAAGTCAACTTTTAGTATAAGTTCTTTGAAATTAGCGAATTTAAAAGGGGATAAAGTAATTACTGTTTAGCAATAGTATTTTAGTAATTTTATTTAATTTTTTTGCTGTGTTAAGTAAATAAATACACTGAGTACGCATATGAATATATACTAATGGTTATCCAATTAAATACAGTGTAATTAATCAAAGTATAACGAAAATGGTACATATCTATAATTTTCTTTATATGATGTCGTCTTTAGTCCGCGTGACAGCTTCACATTTTTTTGTTTACATTTTAATGTCAAATAGGGGAAGCAATTAACATCTTGGGTGGGCCTACGAGTTGGTGCCCAAATTTAAATAAACAAAAATATGCCATTTTCCGACCATATCACGTGATATTCTATAAACAATACCTTAAACCAGCTCAAGCTCTGTCTCAACCACGACATTATTGGTTACCTTAAAAACTTGAAGTAAAATAATTTCCTTGATTTTCTCCAGAACACCAGGGGTCGTCCATAAATGACGTCACACTTGTAGGGGGAGGGGGGGGGTCCCTAATTTTGTGACGGTGTGTGATGAGGGGGAGGGGGGGGGGGGTCAGATGGTGCGACGTTACACTTTTGCATTATGAAAAAGCAATGTTAGAAAACGAATTTTAGACGTTATTTCGCGTTTTAGAAAACTGTTTTAATAAATTGTAATAGGAATTGATAATTAAAATACTATTTTGACAGAGTTCAGACAAGATTTTGGCAAATCGATGTTTTATGAAAAATTCAACTACAATTTTGAGGGGGTTTGTAGGCTGAGGTCTGGCTTTTTGTGACGATGTGCGACGAAGGCGAGGGGGGGGGAGGTAAAAATCGTCAAAAAAAGCGTGACGTCATTTATGGATGACCCCACCAGATCATTTTAAATGTCAAAAATATGAACACAGAACAAAACAAAGTCATTGTTTTATACCATCACCCCATCTCCCATCCCACCCCATTTCACATTACAAGAAGATCAACCTCTGCCTCACATTATATGTGATCTTTAACGAGCACTAAATAAGGGAAGTAACCATTGGTCTGCCGACAGACAAAACAGTAAGGAGTTACCTCTATGTCTAGTCGCCATAAGGTTTACATCAGGTTAAATAGAGAATATCAAATTTACATCAAAAGTCATTTTAAAACAATTATGTACGATTAGCGTAATGAACAATCATGATTTTATTAATTACCTTGGTTAATTTATACCAACACAAACATTAATTGTTACAACCTTTCCCAAAATGTATGAAATTAAAATTAATTTAACATTAACTGTACCTACTTTTCACCACCGTAGATAACACACAGGTAGAACAGTTGCTATAATAAGTAAACAAAATTAAGTTGATACCAATGATAGGCCTACACAGTTACTTTGTTGAACTGGAGACTTTTGCACACGAGCAAAAAAATTTATTTAGAACACTGCGGTTGGTGTAAATGTAATCATTGAAATAAATAATGACTAGGGTAAACAGCAAGTGACTGTACTAATACCTGATGACCTTGACGTTGGCTGAACGAGGGCATGCCGACCTTGACTTTGGACGAAAAACTCCCGCCAACCTTGACCTTGTCTGAGTGAACTCCTGCCATCAACACATCTCATCGACGGCGGTTAGCTGAGCTGAGTTCTGTGATCATCATATCATTGAAGTAGCCACTGGTCAAGTGTGTCGGCGTGTCAACTCTGGCACGGGTAGATGTGTGTGAACATCCGCTCTGACGTATACAATCACACACACACATCCCATTGACGTGTGTGTCATTCACCAGCTTACACATGTCTCACCCCCCCCCCCCACCCCACCCCACTTTTAGAATTAGATTCACAACCCTTATTAGTCACCATCAGACTTGATATATTTGAAAATTGTACACTCAAGACAGTTGACGAAATTCTTTCTTTTTGAATTGAAATGTTACAAGATGAATATTTTGTAACACCTGCTGTAAATGTAACACTTATAATTTGTATGAAACTCGTTTTTACAACTACGAAAGGTCGCACATCGAATTCAACTCTTCCTTCTGCTAGAGAGTATCCTCGAGTTGATGGAACAAATAGTTTCCAGACGGCGCCTGCTGTATGACATCACAACTGTAGATGGTTGTAGAATCGTTCGGGCATCGATTGAATGTCTTCAAGTACAAGGGGAGTGACAGTCGCCAACACTTCAGGCTGTTATGGTAGAAATCAGTGGTTTAATGGAGGTTTACATGTAAAAGGCAATTAACAAAGGTATACATACAAAGAACGAAATGGAATTTATTTAGGAAACATACTTTTACCAGTGTCCGCCTCCTCCCCTCCCCCTCCCCAAAAAGGCAGAAAGAAACACTGTATCACATGTATACATAGGGACTGGACTATCACAGGTATACTTAAGGACTGGACTATCACAGGTATACTTAAAGACTGGACTATCACAGGTATACTTAAGGACTGGACCATCACAGGTATACTTAAGGACTGGACCATCACAGGTATACTTAAGGACTGGACCATCACAGGTATACTTAAGGACTGGACCTATCACAGGTATACTTAAGGACTGGACTATCACAGATATACTTAAGGACTGGACTTTCACAGGTATACTTAAGGACTGGACTATCACAGGTATACTTAAGGACTGGACTATCACAGGTATACTTAAGAACTGGATCAACGTCACTGACCTTTAGTACCTGGCACCATCAGCTGGAGCTCCGTGCTGTCCTAGAAATTAAAAGAAGAAATCAAGAAATATTTTAGTTTCAGGAAATCTGGCTTTTAGTTTTAGCTTTTAGGAAATCTGGCCAACTATTTAAGCAAGTTAGTTCTGGGAGATCTTGCCAATTTGGCTAACTATTTTCATATCAATAAAGTAAAAAAAAAACTACAACAAAAAAAAAAACATGACATTGACAAACAGTTATAAAAGAAAATATAATAGTGCAACGGGAATCGTCAATGAAATCAAGACATTACATGAGGTTGCGACATAGTCTTCGAAATAAAAATCGAACAGATTTAAAAGTGCTTCAGCTCTTACTTTTGTAAAGCTGAAACTTAATTCCTTTTATTTCATTTTCTTTAAATTTGGGTCGAGAAGCGAAAAACGATCGTTTAAAATTTTGTTGTTTAGTAGCAAAAGTTGCGAAATAACAACACGGAGCATACCTTGCTGAAGGCTAGTGCTTAAGTTATTTCTTGAGGGATTACCTTGGTATTAATGGTTAGGTTATTTCTCGAGGGATTACCTTGGTATTAATGGTTAGGTTATTTCTTGAGGGATTATCTTGACGTAAATGGTTAGGTTATTTCTTGAGGGATTACCTTTACATAAACGGTTAGGTTATTTCTTGAGGGATTACCTTGACATAAATGGTTAGGTTATTTCTCTAGGCATTACCTTGACATAAATGGTTAGGTTATTTCTTGAGGGATTACCTTGGTATTAATGGTTAGGTTATTTCTTGAGGGATTACCTTGGTATTAATGGTTAGGTTATTTCTTGAGGGATTACCTTGACATAAATGGTTAGGTTATTACTTGAGGGATTACTTTGGCGCAGAAGGTTAGGTTATTTCTTGAGGGATTACCTTGACATAAATGGTTAGGTTATTTCTTGAGGGATTAAATGGTTAGGTCATTTCTTGAGGGATTACCTTGACATAAATGGTTAGGTTATTTCTTGAGGGATTAAATGGTTAGGTTATTTCTTGAGGGATTAAATGGTTAGGTCATTTCTTGAGGGATTACCTTGACATAAATGGTTAGGTTATTTCTTCAGGGATTACCTTGGCGTTTCTGGTCGAGGCTTTGGTCATCCTGTTGCTGCCGTTCTTGAAGGCAGCTCCTGCGGTCGACGTGTCATCCAAGGTCATGGCCAAGGTCGTGCTGTTGACCGACGGTCGGCCCAAAAAAGCCGGGTCGTAGTTGTGTCGCCACTGTCCCCAGCGTCGCTTCAACACTGCCAAAACCTGCGTGTGGTAGAGTGACGTCGTGAGGTCATGGTTAGTGGGAGAGTAGTGTTGTTAGGTCATGGTTAGTGTTAGAGTAGTGTTGTTAGGTCATGGGTGGTGGTAGTGTTGTTAGGTCATGGTTAGTGGTAGAGAAGTGTTGTTAGGTCATGGGTGGTGGTAGTGTTGTTAGGTCATGGTTAGTGGTAGAGAAGTGTTGTTAGGTCCTGGGTGGTGGTAGTGTTGTTAGGTCATGGTTAGTGGGACAGCAGGTTGTAATGTCATGCAGTAGGTCAAGCAGAATTTAGTCCTGTAGGAAAGTGATAGAAATGTTTCCCAAGACTTACCTCGCCATTGAAGAAACAGAATATTAAAGCGACCACAGCCCCCTGTGAAAACAAACAAATATTTTGTAATGGTGAGTACCAGGTACCACACAGTGGGTGGGATTTTTAAGTAAATTGGTAAGTCTACCCTTGTATTCACTAACAAATGGATACTCTACTGTATCTACTGGGCGCTGTGTATCCACTGTAGTTAGGGTTATTGTACTGTATCCTCTGTGTGTTGTGGATACTTTACATAACCTCCCCTAGACCGAGAAGTAGGTCTCACCTGGAAAGAATTTAAGATGTTGGAGATGAGGTCCCAGATGAACACGCCCTGCTTGTCCATGTTCCCAGGCTTGACGCTGGTGATCAGGTTCTGTAGACCCAGCAGTGGCACCAGTATCAGGGTGGCCTTCACAGCTCTCCTGGGGGAGGGGTGGGGGTATTCATTAGAACTTATTGTATATTAGTTGTATAAATTATCAAAACATTAAATGAACAACAGATACGATAGTATAGATTTACATATGTATATGTTTAGCCTTAGCTTGCTACCCCGAAGGTCACGAGTTCGGATCTTGGTTCGGACTTGCTACCACACAGCGTCCCTGAGTCCACTCAGCTCTGATGGGTACCTAACTCACGTTAGGGAAAGTAAAGGCGGCCTGGGCATAGTACTGGCCACAACATCTCTTCATATGCCAGGTCAAGGAACATAGAAACTCTACTTCATCTGCCCTACATATCGTTAGGTCTGTAAGTGGGCATTTCCTTGCAACGTTGTGCAATTACAAGTTAATTACTAGACTTAGTTCTGTATCAGATTTATGATAAGTTAATTACTAGACGATGTTCTGTATCAGATTTATCACCAGTTAATTACTGGACTTTGTTCTGTATCAGATTTTAAAAAAAACGTAATCCACAAATAGAGATGAAACAAAAAATATTTATTTAACAACCCCTGTGATTGACAATCTACATCTCAAGACAAGATCTAACACCTCGGAAAATATCTCGTAAAAAAAAACGATTTTTACAAAAATATGAAGAAATCCGACTATCTTCATGTAGATTTTTCATTAAGCAGCCGTGTGGATATTTAAAAAAAATTCTTCCTGGTTTACATCATTTTCCCCCGGTCATTACACGAACTCTAAAAAAATATTTTATCGCGATGATAACGACTGGCGACATTTACATACAACTCGAATCTCCTCGCTCTTCTTCCATTTTATGTCCAGCTTTGCATTGCCAAGTGTTTCAGTTTTGCTAACGATCACGGTTATTCAAATGTATTCAATATCGTCTGGTGGTTCGGGTCAAAGGTTATCTAAACTTAGCGTTCCGTTGGCCAAATATTATTTACGTCAGATTTGAATAGTTTGATCTTCTCGTAGTTTGGCCTTCTGAGTCAGCTTTCTGAAACCTATCTAGGCTCTTCAAGTTCAATCAACGTTTGTACTGTTCTTTTTTATTTCATGTTTTTAAAGTACCTTTAAATCATTTCATGTTTTTAAAGTACCTTTAAATCATTTCATATTTTTAAAGTACCTTTAAATCATTTCATGTTTTTAAAGTACCTTCAAATTATTTCGGGTTTTTATAGTATCTTTAAATCATTTCATGTTTTTAAATTACCTTTAACTCATTTCATGTTTATAAAGTACCTTTAAATAATTTCATTTTTTTAAAAGTACCTTTAAATCATTTTATGTTTTTAAAGTACTGCAACGATTAAACCAGGCATCAGATGTAGGCTAAAATTAAATTCGCAAAAAAAGGGAAAAAATAATATCTTTTTCAACGGTATTTATTTTCTAGTAATGAAACGTTTTTTTTAGACTTCAATTGAAAGTTGCAGAAATGTTATAATTTATTAGTATCGCTGCCTCATTGTCACAGTAAATGATAAAGAAATGCTCAAAAAAATTTCATGAGTGTTGAGGGGGATTAAGAAAGATCCAGGTCTTGTTAAAGTAATCTGGGCAGGCCTCTAATGAGCAAACGCGTGTGGGCAATTAGGTTTTTGTTTGTGCGGTTCTTGGAAGATTCTCACGTTTATATTTTACAATACGACTGCGTGGCAAGGTAACAATACAAATGCTGCGAGGCTTTGCTTATAGGGAAAATTTAGGGCACTCGCAGAATTTTCCCAGCCGAGAAAATACAACTACACCCCCCCTCTCATCCTTTACTCAATGTGCCGGCGCCATTGGTTGACACGTAATCAGTTTAGATAAGTCAACCGTGACAACAACAAAAACAACAACAAAGGGACATTACCAGTTCTGGTTGTGTTCATTGGTGTTAAACGCCCTGATCTTGGAGAGTAAAATACGTAGAATATTCAGCAACAGTATCAGGTTTAACTGGGAATGGAAATAGTGCATTGATTTTACATCTAAAATAAGTCAACTTGTTGGAATGATTTAACGGTTAAATACACAGCATATTCAGCAACAATATAAGGCTCTATATGAAAGGGAAATAGTGCATTGATTTTACATCTTAAATAAGTCAACTTGTTGGAATGATTTAATGGTTAAATACGTAGCATATTCAGTAACAATATAAGGCTGTACATGAAAGGGAAATAGTGGATTTTACATCTTAATTAAGCTGGCCTATTTTAATGTTTATTGGGGCAACGTCTTCTTCATTTAGGAGAAACAGACTGGGGAGAAACAGGCTGAAGGTTTTAAGCAAGACACAATAAGATAAATAAGTAGAGAATTTATGTATGTAGTAGGAAAGACAAACACGATAAGACATTCAACAAACGAGGACCAGACATCGACCTTGACCTTACCACAAGGGAGAGAATAATTGGGGAGACGAGGATCCAGAAGGTCCAGTCTGTGTGTGACCAACAGCTGTAGGGGGAGTAAAGATCAATTATTGATTGGTTAGATCAATTATTGATTGGTTAGATCAATTATTGATTGGTTAGATCAATTATTGATTGGTTAGATCAATTATTGATTGGTTAGAGCAATTATTGATTGGTTACATCAACCACTGTAAGAGAAGTAAAGATCAATTATTGATTGGTTAGATCAAGCACTATAAGGGAAGTAAAAGATTGTTAGGTCAATTATTGATTGGTTAGATCAATTATTGATTGGTTAGACCAATCACTGAATTTGATAAATCTTTGATTTATTAGATCAATCTTTGATTAATTATATTAATAATTGATTTTATTACATCAATCATTGGTTTACTAGAGCTATGTGAGAAAATGTTAAAATTATGACTTAGCAATGTAATCTTACGTCAGAAAAGTATGACTACCTGTCATCCATAATTGTTAGTTTATCATGACTTTGAATTACTGTATATTTCTAACATAGGGACAATAACATGGATAATTCCAACCAGTCGCCCCCAGAGGGAACTCCAGACCTTGAGCCTGAACACTTTGAGGCTCTGAATAGGGTTGCCGATAATTAACAACAGAGACCTTATGATAATAGAGGCATAACGATTAACTATTTATCAAAGTAAAAGATTTGATGTTAGTTTGCTTGCGGACTTAGCGGATAACAAGTTCAGATCGATGGTTTTTTTTTTGTTTGTGTGAGCTAGTAGGGCCAACGTCAATATGGTCCTAGACAAAACGGCTCCCGCTGTAGCTAAATTACGACACACATTGAGCTTAAAATAATAAGCTCCTACAAAAATTTAAACTGTCACTGCTATCTAAACTCCTGCCTTCAGTAAAAAAAAAACCCATAAAAAATATAACTTCTGAATGTTAAGATCCATAAATTAAGCTCTCGACTAGCATTAAGCTCAAGCAATACATTAAGCTCTAGCTGTTCATACGTCTCTAGCCTGGCATAAATCGTCCACCAAATTTTATGTTCCTTCTCAATTTTTAGCCCCCGACACAAATTACGCCATCGTAAGTCATTTAGCTTGCGCTTAGCATTCAAGCTCCTCATTTTCACTTCGCTTCTTCGAATTAAGCCTGTCGTATATTAAACACCCGCTGCTGATTTAAGCTCAGCCATACAATCAGTGCTGGCGCCAGGTTATTTAGCGCCCTAGGCAAAACATTTTACAACGCCTAGTTTACTTTATAGTTAGCGCCGGCCCTGCATACTATTCTTGAAACACATTAAGCTCGGAAGAAACATCTAGCTCCCGCAATACACTAAGCTCCCGCGATACACTAAGCTTCCGCTGACACAGTTTCACTTTCTTCTTTTGTTGACTAGTTGTTTTTGTTAGGAGACATTTTGTCCGGAAACAAATTGTCGTGGAACCGTTCTGTTAGGTGGTTATTTTGGCCGGAGTGAATATATCGGGAGCCATTTTGTCGGTGGCCATACTGTCCTGAGTTCTTTTTGGCGGATCCGCACTGTCGTGGATCTTTTAGTGGATCTTTTAACCGGGAGCTGTTTTATTTCGGGAGTCTATTTGTCGGGAGCCTTATAACAGCGGTTTATTTATGGGGGGTATTTGTAGGGAATCCTTTGGTCGGTTCTAAAATGTCATTTATTTTGTAGGGCTTGTCTAGTCAGAGGACCTTTTGATTGTGGATGCATAACTATTTAAGTAGAGGTTGAAGGTTTGCAAATTGGGTAGGGTTCTGACCTTTTTATTTTTTGACGATACAAAAATAGCTTAAAGCCAGCGATTATGGACTACCACATAATCTAAATTTATAATTATGATATAGACACTCTCTCTACCATATTATATATATACATATACATATACATATACATATACATATGCATATGCACGTGCACATGCACATGCACATGCACATGCACATGCATATGCACATGCACATGCACATGCACATACACATACACATACATATACATATACATATACATATACATATACATATACATATACATATACATATACATATACATATACATATACATATACATATACATATACATATACATATACATATACATATACATATACATATACATATACATATACATATACATATACATATACATATACATATACATATACATATACATATACATATACATATACATATACATATACATATACATATACATATACATATACATATACATATACATATACATATACATATACATATACATATACATATACATATACATATACATATACATATACATATACATATACATATACATATACATATACATATACATATACATATACATATACATATACATATACATATACATATACATATACATATACATATACATATACATATACATATACATATACATATACATATACATATACATATACATATACATATACATATACATATACATATACATATACATATACATATACATATACATATACATATACATATACATATACATATACATATACATATACATATACATATACATATACATATACATATACATATACATATACATATACATATACATATACATATACATATACATATACATATACATATACATATACATATACATATACATATACATATACATATACATATACATATACATATACATATACATATACATATACATATACATATACATATACATATACATATACATATACATATACATATACATATACATATACATATACATATACATATACATATACATATATATATATATATATATATATATATATATATATATATATATATATATATATATATATATATATATCCGTGTATGTGTTCTACAGACCTGACATTGCTAGTGGCATCAAGAGCTCGAGCGATGACGTAAGCAATGACTGGAACAATGGGTAACACTGAAACGAAAAAAGTAAAGAGATTGTGAATAGCTGATGTACCGTCTTAGATAAACTTCACGAGAGAGAGAGAGAGAGAGAGAGAGAGAGCGAGAGAGAGAGAGAGAGAGAGAGAGAGAGAGAGAGAGAGAGAGAGAGAGAGAGAGAGAGTTGTTTTAATTTGATAGTTCTTGGTTTGTGTTGCGGTGTATGATTTGGATAGAATGGTGTGATTCATTAGTGTATGGATGTTAAAAACTGTTAGGGATGGCGTGGTCAGATCGGGAGATCGGGAGATCACTCCAAAAGTCCCGAGTTCGGAACCTTAGGCAGATGAGTCTTTGGATTTGGGGACTGCAACCAAATTAGAAGAGAAAACGCCAAATTAAAAAAAAAAACTGCCTTTAGTTTATTTTTGGTTGAACAAAGGCTTTGGAAACAAATCAAGCAAGGAAAAAAAAACGGTTGAAGTCGGAGTCAACTGGCCATATAGCGCATGTTATGTTCACAAGTAATAATTTATTGTGTTGTGGGAAATCCCATCCAATACTACAATTAAGAGCGAAAAAGATGAACAGCTCTTAATGGTTTTTTTTCGCATTAAAAAATTAATTGGAATCATTATCAACAGTACAACTGCACCTTATTTAATAGGAACGCCAAACTTTCCGAATCAAATATTTACCCGATTATTGTGTAACTGTAGCACTAACAGAATTAAGTTACTTAAAAATACTCTAACTTTACCTCAATGATTGTGTTATATATATATATATATATATATATATATATATATATATATATATATATATATATATATATATATATATATATATATATATATATATATATATATATATATATATATAACTCCCCCCTCCACCCGGAACATTTCATGATTATAATTGTTAATTAAATTACTCCCGACAGCACACGTCATGAGATCATTGCCAGCCTGTACACACCTAATCCCCGCAAATCTCCTCCCATATCTTGATAGAGATCAAGGATGGAATCCGGTTTTTTAAAAAACCCGGGTCATATGGCATTACAAACGTCAACAGATTTAAATACCGTAAACAGACACCACATTTTTTTCCCACCGGAAAATTACACGAAGATCTGAGTTTAAAAACAAAAACATTTAAAATTACACGAAGATCTGAGCTTAAAAAAACATTTAAAAATCTGGTATCAGATGTGGTGGAGTTTCTGGTTTCTTCTAATTAAATCTCCCACCAACAAGCAATCACCCCCCTGCCACGCGTGGCACAACGAGATTTTGTGTGGGGTTACGAGAGTTTGAGTGGAGCCACGAGATCTCACGTGAAGCCATGAGATTTCGTGTGGAGCCACGAGATTTTTTGTGGAGCCACAAGATTCTGTGTGGAGCCACGAGATCTCACGTGGAGCTACGAGATTTTTTTGTGAAGTCACGAGATTTCGTGTGGACCAACGAGATTCTGTGTGAAGCCACGAGATCTCACGTGAAGCCATGAGATTTCGTGTGGAGCCACGAGATTTTGTGTGGAGGTTCTTCTATTGTATGCATGTATTTTACCACCTCTAAGTTCAAACCTCAAATGTTTTGTTCGGCTATCTCCAATAACATATATTTTTAAGCTAATGAAAAATTCATACTCAAACTAAAAATATTTTTTTTAAATCTAAAATTTTTTTTTAGACAATTTAAATATTATATTAATGACCGATTTATACTCCAGCCAGCTAACAACGGAAACATTTCATTATTTTAAATTCACCTTCCTCCTAAAAATCTTTCTTTTTTAAAAAAGTTTTTACATTAAAAAATTCCCCTGGGTGGTTCGGGTATTCCAACAACCGACGACCAAAGATATCGCTTGATAAAATATGAAATACAATTCTTAAGTCCAAGGGAGCTTTTGAGTGGCTTATATCATCGTTTACAAATTGAAGTCTTGGATTATCTCCCTGCGATGTGGCCCCCTGAGCCGTAAGGGGAATAACTCCAGGAAAGTGTTCCTTCGGTGACTAGAAAATGTGTTTTCGTATTGTCACAGAAATAAGTGTGTAAGATAATGGACGCTCAAAAAGCTAAAATAATTTTGTAAATGTGTCTATGGACGATAGAATGTTTACCGTTATGACGATGGTTGGAGTTTTAGAGTGGGTCATATAAAAACATCACAGACAGTATGTGGTTAAACATAAAAAAATAAATAATTTGGAAGCTTTTCTTCAAAGTTCGGTTTCACACATTCACTTGACGTATAAACCATGTAAACAAAAATCAGCCTAAAAAGCCAAACCTACAAAACTGATTTTCACAAAAAAAAAAAAAAAAAAAAAAAAAAAAAAAAAGAAAAAAAGTGACCTTGAGAGAAGTAGACATAGTCGACAAAAAGTTTTAAAGGAAAATTATTTATTAAAATGTGCCTGTGAAAAGTGTCAGCTACAGGCAGATGATGCAAGTGTGACATCTGAGGAAGACTAGTCTGATGAACAGGGTGATGACATGGAGGACTAACGAGCTAGATTTGTTACACCACATATTAATAAACAACTGACACAAAAAAAAAAAGCCAAACCTACCCCAGCCTTTTTTAGCAAAACCTACCCCTACCTATAAGTCAAACCTACACCTACCTATAAAGCCAAACCAGCAAATCTATAAAGCCAAACCTACAAACCTATAAAGCCAAACCTACCCCTACCTAAAAAGCCAAACCTACCCCAGCCGATGACACAGCAAACTATCAGCAACAGCTTCTGCTTGGAGAAAGCTTGAACGACGATTGTGTGAAGGAAAAAACCTTCACAAAACATCCAGAAGTAGTTGCAGATGGACGAGTATTGTGTGATGACGTGGACCACAACACACCATGTCTGGTAGATGGAGTAGAGTGGTCGGTTAAATAGCAGTCGTGATGAAGCAACATATACGCATGCAAATATTATATAAACATATATATATATACATATATGTGTGTGTGTGTACATATGTGTATAGATGTGTGTTTTTATATACCTGTATTCATGTGTATAGTATATGTACATAGATACATTTTTGTATATATGCATATATCTATATATATAAAGCAAAGTGGTCAAGTGCCCGATAGGGTACTTCCCGGCGCCGCAGGCGCGTCAAATTTGGCACGATGGTGCCTTCGGGCAATAGAACACGAAGGCCGGTGACGGTTGGCCGAAAACTCTACGGAGAAGGGGTCAAAACTGACCTCGACTGACCGGCGCCTTATATGGGCTATATTACGAAAAAAAATTTCCTCCGACGACCCCACTTGAAATTTTGTGAGGTGGTAGGAGAACACCTTGGGGTGTCACAAAAAACTCGCCATGTCCGGGAAAAATCGGGAAATGGGTCAAAACTGACCAGTCGTATTTCCCTATATAATCTTTGTATTTTATGGGAAAAACAGAGGGTCATTTCAAAACGGATTTTAGGCCACTTACCCTGTTTACATCTGGCTAATTTTTGGCATGTTTATAGGTAAATGGCTCGACCGTAGGGCAGACCTGTCGGTCTTACTAAAAGCCCTCGACGAGGGCTAAAAAGTGACCGCGAGTGAAATTCTCTTTATATGAGCTCTATTACGAAAAAAATTTTCCTCCGACGACCCCCCTTGATATTTTGTGAGGTGGTAGGAGAACGCCTTAGGGTGTCACAAAAAACTCGCCATGTCCGGGAAAAATCGGGAAATGGGTCAAAACTGACCAGTCGTATTTCCCTATATAATCTTTGTATTTTATGGGAAAAACGGAGGGTCATTTCAAAACGGATTTTAGGGCACTTACCTTCTTTACATCTGGCTAATTTTTGGCATGTTTATAGGAAAATGGCTTGACCGTAGGGCAGACCTGTCGGTCTTACTAAAAGCCCTCGACGAGGGCTAAAAAGTGACCGCGAGTGAAATTCTCTTTATATGAGCTCTATTACGAAAAAAAATTTCCTCCGACGACCCCCCTTGATATTTTGTGGGGTGGTAGGAGAACACCTAGGGGTGTCACAAAAAACTCGGCATATCTGGGAAAACTTCGTAAAGCGGTCAAAACTGACCAGTTGTATTTCCCTATATAATCTTTGTATTTTATGGGAAAAACAGAGGGTCATTTCAACGCAGACTTTAGGGTACTTAAGCTCAGTATATTTGGCTAATTTTTTGCATACTCTTAGGTCAATGGCTTGACCTTTAGGGAAAACTGTCGGTTACACTCAAAGCCCTCGACGAGGGCTAAAAAGTGACCGCGAGTGAAATTCTCTTTATATGAGCTCTATTACGAAAATAAATTTCCTCCGACGACCCCCCTTGATATTTTGTGAGGTGGTAGAAGAACACCTAGGGGTGTCACAAAAAACTCGGCATATCTGGGAAAACTTCGTAAAGCGGTCAAAACTGACCAGTTGTATTTCCCTATATAATCTTTGTATTTTATGGGAAAAACAGAGGGTCATTTCAACGCAGACTTTAGGGTACTTAAGCTCAGTATATTTGGCTAATTTTTTGCATACTCTTAGGTCAATGGCTTGACCTTTAGGGAAAACTGTCGGTTACACTCAAAGCCCTCGAAGAGGGCTAAAAAGTGACCGCGAGTGAAATTCTCTTTATATGAGCTCTATTACGAAAAAAAATTTCCTCCGACGACCCCCCTTGATATTTTGTGAGGTAATAGAAGAACACCTAGGGGTGTCACAAAAAACTCGGCATATCTGGGAAAACTTCGTAAAGCGGTCAAAACTGACCAGTTGTATTTCCCTATATAATCTTTGTATTTTATGGGAAAAACAGAGGGTCATTTCAACGCAGACTTTAGGATACTTAAGCTCAGTATATCTGGCTAATTTTTTGCATGCTCCTAGGTCAATGGCTTGACCTTTAGGAAAAACTGTCGGTTACACTCAACGCCCTCGACGAGGGCTAAAAAGTGACCGCGAGTGAAATTCTCTTTATATGAGCTTTATTACGAAAAAAAATTTCCTCCGACGACCCCCCTTGATATTTTGTGAGGTGGTAGGAGAACGCCTTGGGGTGTCACAAAAAACTCGGCATATCTGGGAAAACTTCGTAAAGCGGTCAAAACTGACCAGTTGTATTTCCCTATATAATCTTTGTAT